TGGTACTTCATTCCTTTCTATGGCTGCATAATATATTCCATTGAATGGACATACCACAATTGATTATCAATTCTTTAGTGGACATTAGGGTTATATCCACTTTTTGACTGTTATGAATGTTGCTCTGAATATTTGGGTGTAAGCTTTTGTATGGACATATGTTTTCATTTTTCTTTCATATGGCAAGCTATAAAAGTACCGGGTCATATAAGTAATTCTATATTTAACCTTTAGAGGAACTACCAGACTATTAGCCACTTTACATTCCTATCAGTTGTAGGAAGATTCCAAATTTTCTACATCTTCACCAGTTCTTGTTATTATCTGTCCTTTTTTATCATACTCAGCCTAGTGAGTGTAAAGTAGTATACTGAAATTATGATTTTCATTTCCCCAATGGCAAATAATGTTGAACATCTATAAATGTGCTTCCCAGACCATGTGAACAGTCATTTTTCTCACTGAAACCTTCCTAGTTTGCCTAGTGCACTAACACACACTTGTTTAGCCATGTGACTTTCCAAGTATCTAAATACAATCACTATTGCATTACCTATGTGATTGGCTTTATTCAATTCCCTCAAGGATTAAACAGGCCATTAGGGCCAGGATTTAGCTCAGTGGGCCATGCCTGCCTTGCAAGCGCAAGATCCTGAGTTCGATCCCTGGTACGGAAGGGAAAAAAAGAGGATAAAACAGGCCAGTTATTCTAGCACAGAAAAGGCAATACATCACTCCTATTTAATTGGAGATCGCCAACCTTGCTTTACTAATAACACACATACTTACTGTCCATGCTTATACCAGAGAAATTGCTGGAGAAATTACCAGAAGCTTGAAAAGCAGGTTTGCTACAAATGCATGCTATATAATTGTAACTAGATACTCAATACCACTTAGGAACTCCATTACATATCTGGTAATCACCTTTTACTCTGACCACAACAACAAATTCCACAGACATGAATAAAATGGTATCCTGTGGGCTTTAAAATTACAAAGATACAAATTCAACTGTTAGCTCAGCCAATTTCTAGCTCTGCCACTTCACTTTTCTGAGTCTCAGTTTTCTCACCTATGAACGATATTGTTAAGTACCTGATAAAACTATTCTAAAAAGAGAATGTAAAGCACCAAACAAGCACAGAGCATGGGTCAAAGAAATATTAAGCAACTCCTAAAGTCCTCGATCCCATCCATGTGAGTCCTGACAGTAGGCACACACTTAAATGCCTTCCACAAATGGTAAAAAAAATCAAGATATGGTGCCTGACTTTATTGGATCTTGGAGTAAAACAACAAAATTTACAATTGTAGTAAGTTCTATGAAGGAAGAGTCCAAAAACTAACAAGACAGACCTATTAGCAAAGTGGTTAAGAAAGTCTTTTGAAGAGGAGACATTTCAACTGAGACCGAAAAGATGAAAAACAATTTAACCATTCTGTCTTACCACCTCTGCAACTCTGGCCTATCCTCAACTATCATTTCTCTTTCTACTACTCTCCATTATCCTCGGAGGGCTACTTGACCTCTGCTTGGAAGCACACACATAAGCCTTAGATGGGCAAGGGGAAGACACACAACTTCACTTAGCTTACTACCATTTTTAGCTATTCATTTTATACTTGCCACCATTAAAGGTATTTAAAAGAATGGTCAAAGTCTTTCAAACTTAGGATTCTAACAGTGGATATGCATTTACTTTCTAGAAATGTCAGTTTTGAATTGAATTTTATTCATTAAATGCAGTGATTCTAGTGTACTGATTTTTAAAAGTCACATTATGACATATCGATATCCTTATTGTTCATATATTGTTTCCTTTAGCATGATGCTAGCATATATATATATATATATATATATATATGATATACAGATGTATTAAAATATAACAAACGGGAAGTAAGCATTGCAATTTCAGCTTAAATAATACCACAGATAAATGAGGTATAATAGGTATGCCAGGCTTTTGTTTAATCAAATGACTTATGAACAATTTTTTTAATGCTCATAATTTAATGTTTTTCTGCCCATGGACTGTAATAATTTTTTGAAGTATGCATGCCCCTTTAAGTGAAAATATTTCTGTGGCAAACTAAGGGTAGCTTCACTCCAACTTACTAATACAACTCTTTTTCTCAAAATTAACAAGTGCCTCTTAGTTTGCTATAAAAAAAAAAAAAATTTGGCAGGCCAAAAAAACTTAATTCACACATAATGTAATTACATAAATTTTTAGTTTATCACATCTCAAGGTTGTTTTTAAACAGGTGTTTTTAAAATCTGAATGAAGAAAAATCTCTATATGTGATAATGAGGGCTAAGAGAGAGAAAGAATAACAAATGTTTATTTAAAACTTGAAGAAATGATTAGAAGGAGGAATGAATGAAAAAGGAATTTCATCTGTATCTCTGAACATGTCTTACTTCTATGAACAGTTTCTTTCCTATATATACCTTGGGCCAGGGATTTAGCTCAGTGGTTCCAGCACCTGCCTCGCAAGCGCAAGGTCCCAAGTTCGATCCCCGGTACCAAAAAGAAAGAGTAAAAAGCCTGCCTCCTATATATACCTAAAATCTCTTGAAATTCAAATTCAAATTCTACTCTAAAGAATCTCACTAAACTTGCACTTTGTCATACATGCTGAATTATCATCAATTTTTGAACAAAGGTGAAACTGAAGAAGCTAGTATCTTCCTAATTTAAAGCCATAATCAACTTTCAAGAGATTTAACTGTATTTTCTTTTAAAAATCATGGAACATAATGCATGAAAATTACAATGGAATTAGGCAGGCATACCAACCAAAAGCATTTCCAGATGGCAAAGAATTCATTGAAATAAGAATTTCAGAAGTATATTCAAAGCAATATTCTGTCTTTGATAATTTAGAGGCAGCCATGATAACCACTATTTGTACATGACAGTCATATGAAATAATAAACCTTGCAAGCTATAAACATTACCAAATTCTGACACTATTGATTTATTATGTCTAACAGTGACATCAAACCAAACAACTGACAGAAACAATGTTACAGCTTTAAGAGCAGTTTGTCAACGATTAATACTGCCAAACGGGGTTTAGCTTTATGCTGGGACCGCTTGTCTAGCAGTTGTCAATCCAAGCAAAAATTACTACTGCCACACGTCTGCTAACATAGGCCCGAGGCGCCGCTCCGTTAGCCCTCATTACCCCGATCACTGCAAATACAGATGCAAGGCCAGTCCCTATTTAATATGCATGTTAATTATGCAAATTATTAATTGGGCTGGTGCTTGAGGACTTGTATTTATGCCCAGATTAGAGTCAATAACTGTATCACACAGCATTTTAAGCCTGACCTGTGACAGAAATAAAGCTGTGCAGAAAGCAACATTTTTTTCATACTTAGTTCAGACCACTAGCTAGACAAGAGTATCTTCATGTTGATTCAAAAAGAGGCCTCACTTGGGACACAGGAACCATCCAATATATCTTTTATTAGCATATTTATCTTCTTATATTCTCACCTGATATTATTCATAATTATTTATAACATTCATTACATTACAAAGTCTATTGTTTCTATAGCAAAAATGTTGAATGTACTATGCATCAAAGTATATTTTTATAGTTTTTTTTTCCAATAAGGCTATGGTTTGGTCCTATTTATATCACATGTCCATAAAAATTGTATGACATGATATTATGTTGTAAATTTTTTTATTTAAAAAAAATATAGATTTAAACGTCCAAAGATAGAGCAAAGCTATAAGGTTTTTCCAATTAAAATTTACAGCAGACAATGTTGTAAATTTTATACAGTTGTAATGCTTGCTGCAGTTGTACCGAAATGGGAACTATTGATCAGTATGATTTCCCAGGATACATGAAGGGGGAACAAGGTATTGTACAAAGAGAAACAAAACTTTCATTTGCAAAGCTTTCTATTAGACTTTACTGCCCTCATTTGGTCCTACATACATCTATCTAAAACAGGGGGAAAGTGACATTTTCCCCATAGAATTACAATGAAAACAAAAGCAAATAGAAACAAAAAGAAAAACAAAATAAAACAAAAAAACCCTACACACGTAATTAAAACATAACAACTGTGCCATAGCAAAAGCGTAGTTTTTATATACTCAAGACAATATCTATAATTTAATGAAAAGATATGTCCATTTGGAAGAAATTTCTTAAAGAAAACACTTTATCTTGAAAAAAAAAGTAAATTAAGAGCAACTGGAATAACATTAATAAACCATATATCAATAAGAAGCACTAACACTAATCATATTAATAGTTTATATGAATGTTAAATTATTTTATGAATTTTTAAATACAAATTGTTAAATTTATACAGTTTCAGTTATTGGCATACAAAAACTGTTAAATTAGGTCACTGCAAAAAATGTAATAAAAATACCACAAGCTCAATCTATGAAATTACCTGTATTAAAGTTGTGTCCTCCTGACTGATTCTCAATTAAAATGAAACTGAAGTTCTGATTCCATTGTGCCTGGCTTTGTTTTAAGGTCTTGCTGATGACATCTTAAACTCTTCCTGATCTATAAATAACATAGCATGAATCAACTATGAATAAACCACTGAGTCCTTGGTGGTTGATTAACTGAGTTGTTAGTGGTTAATTAACTAAGGGAATCAACCACTGAAAGACAGAATTCATGTCAAGAGCACTTCATGCAGATAAGCCAGGAAGATAAAACTAAACTGATTTAATTTGACTTAGTCACCCATGCTGATACAATCTAGCTTACCAATAATAAAAATACCTATGTCCCAAGTATCCATTTTTTCTCAGGCTCTTTTCATAATACCCTGACAGGTATTATCTATATTGTTTATAATCAAAAACCAAACCTCTAAATAGTTCAGTGACTAGTACAAAGTCATAACTAGAATAAAAGCAGAACTGAGAGCCGGAATCTATGGCAATGTGACATCAAAATACAAGTTCTTTAAGCCTAAACTATCTTTCAGTTGTCCTAAACAACAGTAATCTTAATACTTAACAAGCTTTAAGTATATGCTGACATGACTGAAAATGAGAGAAGGAAACAAGGAAAATCTGACACAAATGAACAAGGTAAGACTATTTGAATAATATGCATCAAACAGATTCATTCACTAAACCCTAAAAGTTATAAAGGTGTATTTAGAGCACCAGGGAAGGAGAAATGTTAATTTTTACAAGCGGTGACTATTCACTAACACTTTTGAACATACAATTTGAAAGATAATTATTTGGGAAGCAAGTGCTACCCAACAGTTGAAATTTTCAATATGAAAGATAAATTCATATAATTAAAACGGCAGGTATTATTTGGGTACAAAGCATGGTGCTCTCCAGGGATGGCTATTAGAGTGCCATATTGCATGTGTGGAGGTAGGAGGGTGTGAATGTATATACTAGCCAATTAATGTTCATTGTTTAATACATATTTTTCATGCGAGTGCCATTTACTAATATAGAGCATTAGATAAAGTACTCTAAAATGTAGCTTATGTTTAAAACTTTTTATTTGGGCATGATTTTAATACTAATTTTTATATTGCAGTAATTTCTAGGTAATTAAAAAACCTGATAGGTGAGACATATTCATTCTTAAGCGTAAAAAATCTGTCTAGGGCCAAGGATTTAACTCAGTGGCACGGCACCTGCCTCGCAAGCACAAGGTCCTGAGTTTGATCCCTGGTACCAAAAAAAAAAAAAAAGAAGAAAGAAAATAGACACAAACTCAAACTGATTTCAAATTTTAATGAGGATTATTTAATCCTTTTACCCAGGTGAATATAATTTTTCAACTTCAATCTAACACTGAAATTTAATGTTGTTAAATTATATATTTGGATAAAAGTGAAGATAGCTTTCTTTTTTCCCCACCCAAAAACTTGACTTGTCAGGTGGCCAACTGTGACAAACAGGGTTAGGTATATTTCAGTGTATTCTAAATCAGTATGGTTTTCTAGCAGGTGGCTGGCATTCTTCCTTTTGTAAAAACGGTACACTAGAAAAGGTGGCGTTCACACTGATTTTCAGGGCTTTCTTCATGACAACAGTTCACAGAAAAAGAAACCATTGTAATAAAATTATATACCTGGGGAAACTGATTAAAACTATGGCCTACATTTTAAGACAAATCAGTGAAACCCTAATTTGTCAACATTATTAATAAAAGTTAATTACCGAAAGTAATTCTAAATTCAAGTCTCAGGTGTCCAATTTTAAATGCTGAGGTGTATAAAAAGGCATAATAACAACATGGCCACTGGTGACCTCTGGAAGGGCCAACAAATCACATACTACACACAAACATACCTGATTCCATAGGAAAGTCCCCCAAACTGAGGTAAAAAAAATTATTTAGACAATGACAGATAAGCACATCTGAATAAAATGTTGATTAATAAACAATGAAAATAAACTCGCTGCCTTATACTAAGCTAAAGTATGTACCAAAGGCCTACTAGGTGTTTTATACTAATTAACCCAAAAAAGCTTATTATTAATTACATTTGCAAATTACTAAGGCAGTACAATCCAATCATAAAGTCACTACCAAACACTGTATTTAAAAGCAGAAGAAATTTTTCAGTAAACATAGCCAGAAAGGGAGTAATTTCTTAAGAAGTGCTATTTGTGAATTTAACATTTCCTGGAAATAATAGAATTTTCATTTTCAATTCCAACATGTTTCAAACAAAAAAAAAATCAATGTGATAAATTGACTCAAAACAACATCCACGTTCAGTTCTCCTAAAGACTGTATATCAGCCAATAGCTTATTCAAAGACTGAACCAAGCTCTTCTTGATGTGCAATGGTACTAAAAAAGAGTACACATTTCAGTGTTTAGAAACTGGAATTTCACTACCCACTACACTGCTTATTCCAAATCTAGTCAATGGTTCTGAAAGCCAAACTGCCCATCTTTACTACTGATCAGTTATCATAGAGAATGTAGTAATTTAGATAACTTCCCATGTTAACAGCTTGAATTAAGACAGGTAGTAAGTGGCAACATTCTATTACAAAATGGCAAGAAAAAAATAGACAATGGATGAATCTAATAATGGGAAAAGATAACAAAGACCTTGGATTCTAGCATCTGGCACTAAATGAACTTTTTTGTAAACTGAATGACGGTTTCCAAAACTGCTCCAAGCATCATTCCTTTGCCAAGGCAGTAAACAGCTTTTATCAGCAATAATGATGGCATAATCCCAGCTAAAAAGGAAAGTAGCATATGGCAGCAGCCCTCCCAATACCATCCCAACAAAGTAGGGGGCATTTTTATTACAGCGTCCACTTGCAGAAAATCTGCCAGACATCTTTTCCTTTTTCTCTTCTCTTTTTATTTATTTGCTTTTAAAAAGGTAATCATCTTCTCTAAACTGAATATCACATTTGGGAGTGTGAAACTAATGATTTTTCTTAAATCTACTCATAGACATACACAAAGACTGTCACATGTAATGGTAGCTAATAAAATAATATGAAGCTGCCTATTTAAAAAAGCATCAAAAATTTTTCAAACTCTCTAAACTTAGAAACAAGTGCTTTTAATTAAGGAACTTGTATCAAGATCTATCACACTGACATATAGTGAGCACCAAAGATGTAACTGATTTCATAGAATAAAGAGTTCTTACGAAATCTGGCAAAAAAAATGCAGACAAAATACTACTTAGTATACAGCTGACAAAGAATGATCTATAGTAAACTGCAAAGACACATGATCTACAAATGATCTTAATCTAATTTGATGTGTTAAAAATGTCAAAATTCATAATATATTGCACTGATCAAAACAATCACAGTAAAGGATTCTTTAGGCCAACATACTATTTATTTATCAATAAAATTATAAGAGGATATTTCTATAAAATATCTTCTAATGGCCCAGGAGATGGACTAATGAATCATAAATCCCACCTCAGTTTCCAATGACAGACTTTCTATTTTCATTGACAAGTCAATGGCTGTCTTTTTTTATCCATACTCTTGATCTTTCTTAATACGTTGGACATAATCTCAGAATGACAAAGATGTAGTTTGGATTTAGATTTTTAAATGTTACAATGAACAGGTTATTAGTTTACTAATTAACACAGCAATTGCTGTGTCCTGCACATTTAACATCTTATTACACACTTAGCCAAATGCAAACCTTTGTTTACTGTAGGCAAATTTACTAGCTGATAGAAGAATCAATGAAAAAGTAAATGAATGTTAATATTTCTGACATCTCTACCCATAAATATTTTTTTCAGGCTGAAAAATGTATCTAATAGCTCCACTCACTGATGTGCAGTACAGTTTACTACAGTGTCTATATTTCTGTTGTCAGTTTTACAGTATCTCCCTTCATTAAACCTATCAAGTTTTCGTTTTGATCATGCAACCAAGGACAGAAGACAGATATCTTCCTGGAACAGAGCAGTCTGCCAAGTCTTTCACAAGACCAGCTTAACCTTCCTATTGATTTTTTCAACACTGCAGCCATTCATTGTTTGTGACATTTGGCTGTTGGCTCTTTAACACCCTTCAACCAAATCAATTTCATATTTTTGTCAATGCTCTGCAAGAGGATGAGTAAAAATAGGAAGAGACTTAGCATGATTTAAAATGTTGATTTTTCTCAAACAGTTTTATCTTTAGTTTTTATAAGACTTATAAACTTAATTCATGTTCTTATTTATACTTTGGCAAAAAACTGGGGGAAAAGATTTGCAAATTACAATATTTCAGTACGGTACTGACCTTGTTCTTACTGAATCTTTTAAAAACAGCTAATTTTCTTAATATAATTGATACTTATACCAATCACATCCTATCATACCTATAAGCTTAGTAGCTGAAAATAATAATGTTTTTTGTGGGTTTAAAAACTTAAATAATATGTAGGAAACACTGTGAAAGGTAATATAAACAACATCACTATTACTATGTTTTCAAAAAGCAAAGCATGTCAAAAAAAGCTCAATTCAGCATTTTGCTCAACCTTTAGTCTGAACTGGCAGTGTACCTAGATACTAAATGCCATGGACCGCCTTCAGGCTGCCAATGCAAAAACTCCTTTTGACATCAGTTAGAACAACATGTAAAAATCAAAGACACATATGTTCTAAATAGTGCCAAACCTCTCATCGCTCAGTGAATTCTGTAGACACTCACAAAAATAAATGGAATAAGAACAAAACTTTACTAGGCATTTTTACTGTATTTTTCTTAAAAAATTGAAAACTACAATTTTATATTAATTTTTCCTAGGTTGCCTCCTTCTAGTGTTAATTATCAAGAGAAAGACAGACTGAGTTCTTGGAATCATGGTTAGTGACTCATTTAAATATGATTTAAGGACTTACTAAAAGTGAATTAATAATTCACTGAAAATCCTGATGGTTTCTTTTGAACCATTATATGTTATCACATAATGCATGTAATATGTAATTCTTCAAAATATACTAATCACGCAACATACATATAGTTTGCTGACCTACTGATAAATGTTCCAAAAATACTGAACATAGTTGCACTGGAAAATAAGCAAAATTTAAATAACAAAGGCAACTGTTAAGAGTAACCACTTATGGTATTCAAATAAACCCTTAAAGATGCAACTAATAAACTGACCATTCAAAATGTTTCTATGTAACCTTTAGGAACTATGATGTAAACAAATAAGACTATTGCCAAAATATAAATAATTATATTTTGTCAAACCCAGGATATGATGATCGATGATCAGTTGTAAGACTTAACCATGATTTTATGTGCTACTGTGAAGAAAAAAGTTCTGTCAATTAAACTATGACATGACATCGATTCTAAGAGGCATCCTCATTTGAGAAATGCTAAAATGAGAGGGTGAACATTTTAAAATCAATGAAACAGGGTAATGATGAACTAGAACAACATATACTATTGGTTCTTTATGTGTGCCATTTTTAATTGTCCACATTAAATATTGTGACATAGCACTTTGAGTCACTTTAGAACATTAACATGACCTCCTTCAGCTTAACAAACTGACTCCCACATTATGCTTTCACTTTTTATGGATACGCTGTTATATGAAGTACAGTGCATGGAATAAAGCACAAATGAAGAAATCATGTATCTGCCAAATTTGCAAATAAATCATCCTGGAAAATTAAACAAAAAACAAACTTCGGACATTCTCCATAGCAATGCTTACAGAAGAAATTCTCTGTAATCAGAAGGATCTGTGTGTTTCAATAAGAAGCTCCCACTCACTTATCAGCTGTGATCTTGGCCAAGCTGATTAACATTTCTAAGCCTCGATTTTTTTTATTCATGAAAATAGAAATTTTGTTGACAAAATTTCTATATGCCTCCCAGAAATACTGTAAGAATTAAATGAGCTATGTCAAAATTCTTAATAGAAGCCAGGTGTGATGGCACACATTTGCAACCCCAGCACTCAAAAGGCTGAGGCAGGAAGACTGCTATGAATCTAAGACCAATCTGAGCCTAAACTACATAGCAAGACCCTGTCTCAAAAAATAAAATTGGCACCTCATGAGTTTAACAAATGTTTCTTTCCTTTCTTCAATGTATCATGCTACTTTACAATTTATATTTTAAAGGTCAAAGCAAAGCTAATGGATACTTGACTCTAGTTTGACCTTATATACATATGTAGGATGTTGCTTATGTCCCTTGGAAATGTATATTATCAGAATGCACATGCTAGAAAGTTATATGATGAGTAAATCCACACAAATCTAAATTCAATAAGAGAAAGTATTTGGGGTTTTTTTGTTCATTGCTCTCTACTTCTAGGATCTACAGCAAATATTAGGCATTAAGTAAATCTTTCTTAATGAATTATGATTTCAAAGAACTGTTCATTTCTTATAATAAATTTTAATTCAATAGAACTCAATGAGGACCATGTAGTAAAATACTATTTTTCTTCCACTTCTTCCATTCTTAGTATTACTGACTGTTACTAATGGGAAGGGGTCCAGGAGACTAAGGGGTTAGAAGGAAAAAGGGTGAGTAAAAAGATTTAAGATGTGTCATGTACATGTAACAAATACCCACAATAAAAGTACACATTATATGTCATAAACATGAACTAATAATAATAGAGAAAAGGGATTTAGAGATGGAGGCAGGGAGATGGGTGGGGAGTAGAAGACTAAAACAATATTCACTTTTTAGCAATAATCCAACATTCTAATTAATTGGATAACTGCTTAGTAAGCATTCAACATAAGAATAACACATTGTTAGATACTGAAGGAAAAAAACTAATATAAGATACACCCCTGTTGTCTTCCAAGAAAGCAAAATAGTAACACTCATGAAACTACATTGTTTTCCACCCCTGAAGAAATAAGTTAGTTTGGGCCGGGGATTTAATTCAGTGGTTCTGCTGCCTTCCTCACAAGCGCAAGGTCCTGAGTTCAATCCCCGGTACCAAAAAAAAAAAAACAAATAAGTTAGTTAACAATAAAAACTGAAATGTAGAAAACTGTTGGAACCAAGAGATTGTACCATAGAGTAATTTTAGATGTGCAATATGATAATCTAGAGAGACATATTATTGTGCATTGTGAGATATTTGAACTGCTCTAACCCATGGGATAGCCAAACTCACTCTAACCTAGAGATTATTAACTCTCTCAAGCAGAAGTGGAAATATTTCATCCAAATTAAGTAATGTAGGATAAAAGAGTGTCAATGAATGGGACATAAGCCACCAATACCTGACCAATTCAATATATTTACTGATGTTGCTCTGTGCCAAGCTCTGTGCAAGGTATCTGGGTGTACAAAGATAATAAATGCACTAATCACAAAAAACTATTCAGGAAGATAGTATTTAATTTAGATTGCAGTGATCTATCTGTGTCTTTGCAATTACAACCATTCTACAGGTTAATTTCATGGTTTGAAAGATGGGACAAGATAGCCTACTAAAGCAGACCTAGTCCCTGGATCATATTTTGTTCATCTGAACAAATGATAAGGGGGAAGAAGCTACTTTAAAACAATATAGACACTTTGTACAAAAGTTAAAAATATAGAAAAACATAAGGAATCCAAATTCCTTTACTGGAAGGTAACCATTATAAATATTCAGGATTTATTCTTTCTAATTTTTTTCCTCAATAAAACTACTTTAGCATATAATCTATGAGTATGTTACACTGCTATTTTAGAAACTGACTTATAAATTTAATATACTGAACATTTTTCATATTACTGAGTATTCTAACGCATAAGTTTTAATTATATAAATTCTATCACGTGGTTATAGCATAGTTAAATCAAATCACCCACTGTCAAACATTTCAATTGTTTGCAATTTTGTCCTATCAGGAATAATGCTGCAAATTATACCACTAAATAACTAAACAGTAGATACAGAGTTTATTCCAAGTAACAGATTATTCTAAATAATGAATGAAAAGAAAAAATAGAATATTTCTATTTTGCAACTCCAAGTGTACTA